AAATATAAAGAATTAAGATATTACAAAACATTATTTTATAGCCTACATGAATTTAAAAACCACTGCCTTGAATTCTTCATCTCGGGAGGCTTTTTCAGTTCATTTAATTTGCTTTTGTCCACCTGTCAGGTTCTAGACTATATGTGTATTTGGAAATAACTCAGTATTTTGACCACACTTCGGTATTATTTTTCATTTATTTGTTTGCAGGAAATTAGAACTGAATTTAGAAATAGTTTTGAAACAAATATTTGTGCTTAACAAACTAAATTAATTATTTATAGGCTAATTGCGTAAAGGTTTCCCTATCCACAAGAGCAAAAGCGAAAGTGAACTTACTTTACGTCATGTAATAGCAAATGCGCTTATGGTGCGATGCAGCTGGCTCTTAAAATGAATGGGAGATGAGACTCTGATTGGTTTATTCTCAAAACACACCTATACCTAAGAAAATAAACTCAACCCTTTTAGACCATGCGCCATGGCGCAAAGTGGATTTTCCCATACATATATTAGCACATATGGATTCTGACACTCCCTGAATGCGTTTGCGCCCTGCGCTTTCTGTTTTGCGCATGGACATTTGATTGGACAAGAATCACAGGAAAGATTTTTCTAATCCCCATAGACAAGAAAAAATAAAGTAGTCACTGCAGGTTAAAGGAAAGATTTGGAGTAAAAGAACCAATACAGCACTAAAAATGTACTCAAGGGAAAGTAAAAGTACACATTTTTAAAACTACGTAGTAAATTACGATTCTTGAGAAAAACTACTCAATTAGAGTTTGAATATTTGTAATTTGTTACTTTACACCACGGAAGGTCAGTCAATACTCTGACCACCACTGACAAAAACAATTTTGTAACAAAACAAATAAAATGAGAAAAAAAAAAAAAATGTAATGTAGGGAAACGAATGCAGTTTTTGGGCAGAGTAGATTGACGGTAAGGTTAATTAATAATAATATTATTGCTGGGACATTTTTATTGACTAAATCTAGAATTAAATTACAGGAGATTTAAAATTAGACTGGAAACACAATAGGGCGACGCGGTGGCGCAGCAGGTATTGCTATCGCCTCACAGCAAGAAGGTCGCTGGTTTGAGCCTTGGCTGGGTCAATTGGCGTTTCTGTGTGGAGTTTGCATGTTCTCCCCGTATTCACGTGGGTTTCCTCTAGGTGCTCCAGTTTCCTCCACAGTCCAAAGACATGCAGTTCAGGTGAATTGGGTAAGCTTAATCATTCTAAGTGTATGAGTGTGAATGAGTGTGCTTGGATGTTTCCTATAGATGGGTTGCAGCTGGAAGGACATCCGCTGTGTAAAACATATGATGGATAAGTTGGCGGTTCATTCCGCTGTGGTGACCCCAGATTAATTAAATGAATAAGCCGAAAAGAAAATGAATGAATGAATGAATGAAAACAAAATGGGCTCTATTTTAACAATCTAGGCGCAAAGTCTAAAGCGCAGGGTGCAAAAGCATTAAGGGTGTGTCAGAATCTACTTTTGCTATTTTAAGGACTGAAAGAATATGCTCTATGCTGTGGCGCATGGTCTAACAGGGTTGAGCTTATTATTGTAATGAGTTCTGGGTGTGTTTTGAACACAAACCAAAACACAAGTGCTATGCTCCATATGCTCCAAAACCTGACAGGTGGACAAATCTAAGCTTGTTTTAATAAAATAAAAATAAATATGCATATAATAAAGAGATAAAAAGGGCATAAAGGCAGTGGTTTTTATATTTATGTCAAAAGTAATACATTTTGTAATATTTTATTCTTTTAATACTATTTCAGTTGTAAAGATATTTGCGTATTGCTGTACATCCTTTAAGCAATGTGTAAGTGAGGTGCAGAACTAACACACTCTGGTCTATTGCATAGTCTATTTTAGTAACTTAAAATAACAACGTGCCAACAATGCGCCTTAACACACCTCTTTTCTAGACCGAAACACCCATGAGTCCACAAAGTGGCATACTGTAAATAGATTTGCTATTTATACAACATGGTGGAGAACAGGAAAATTATGGTTGCATTGGGCTGAAACTAGTAACACGTCGGTGAAACATGTCTTGCGCCAGCTGTATGATAGGGTCCAATGATTATAAAAATGAAAATTTGACTGAATCTAAAATCGCATTTCAGTCAAAGAACTAGGACCATCTAAATCAACATTTACTGTCAAAGTAGCCCTGCTTTACAAATATATTAAGGAGTGTTAGGTGAAGAGGCTTTCAACGAGGCAAAGAAATATATTGAAGATTTCATTAAAACAATTGAACAAAAACAATTAAGTTGTCCCAAAAAATAAGAAATGTGTTGCTTCAACTAATTTTAAATAAGTAGTTTGAACAAGCAGCAAAAACTTTATTTTTTTTTTGAGTGAACTACATAATATTAATCAATGACTTGTACTTACTATACAGATTAGAATGTTGGTTAGTTAATCCAGACATAATCCATTGTAATTACTATAGTGATTGCATGAAACGT